AGGAGCCATTTTGCTGCCGACGTTGTTATGCTGAGTCAAAGAGAAACTAATATAAGGAAACTGCTAAACCTGGGAAATGGAGGAAACTCTTAAGAAATTAGGAGAACTATAGGACAGGCTTTTTAGAAAAGTAGCCTGAAGTTGAGAATGCCTTAAAACATCTTTGTAGTCGCTATGTAATGTGAAACTGCAGCCTCTTTACATTTTTCCTTTTCCTACGTAAGTTGTTTCAGGCTGTTTTATGCTTGCCTAAACTTCATATAACAGAAACTGCCGGTTGCAGCAGAAAAATATAAAATGGCGGCAGCAAAAAAAATAAAGTGCTGTCATTGTGTCCCACAGAAGCAGCTATGCTGATGTACTTCATATCAATCTTTTAAATTGCTTTACAGCACCTTCATGGTAAAGCAGAGTATCTGGTTAGCCACTAAATATTGAAGCCAATGTTAACACAGAATCTGTGTGATGCCTTGTTTATCCAAAGTGGTAACTTTTTATACGAGAAGGAAAAATGTTTTTGACTACGGTGTACATTAACATTGAGTTTAGCATATCACCATGATACGTTCACACCATGTATAGCAGACAGCAGTGGCAGCAGACACTTTTAGATGGTGGAGCTCCATCACCCCAGAGAACACAGTTCCACTGCTTCACTGACCAGTGCTGGCGGGCTTTATGCCCCTCTAGTTGATGCTTGGCACTTGGCATGGTCTTAGGCTCATGAGCGGCTGGTTCAGAGTGTCCCGTTCTATTGACAGTGCTTTTCTGTGGAGATATACATGCTGTGTGTGCAACTGAATGATTGTGTACATCGTAATAAAGAAAGATGTATGTATATACAAACACATGTTCTATGTAACTGTCAGCTTTAATAATGCAGCATTATATTGTTCTTTCCAGCTCTCTCCAAAAGCCACAGGCGTACTATCCACACAATCCTGTTGAATCCTCACGTGCACCTGATTGGAGAGGATGCGGCCTGCATAGCTTACATCAGGCTCACTCAGTACATAGACGCCAACAACATGCCTCGTACAATGCAGTCAGAGGAGACCCGTGTGTGGCATCGCCGTGACAGCAAGTGGCAGAACATTCACTTCCACCGCTCCGGCTCACCAACTGTGCCCACCAAGTGAGTCCTCTGTACGTGTATGCTTTGGTGTGATTGATATTGCACCTGTCTGAATCTCATTTATGATGCCTGTCTTAAAAGAATGTTCCAGCATTTTTCAGCCTGATCTCTGTCTGCTGCATCTCTGACATGCAGTTATTTACCATGGACTACCTGGTACTCTGTACTTAGAAAAGAGGAAACCTGTGACTCAAAACACATTGGATTCTATTATAAGTGTGTTTTGAATCAGAGGATTTTCTGCTCTTTTCTAAATACAGAAAAAACATGTCAAAATTAGAGTCTGACTGGTTTATGGGATGCCTGACAGTATCTGCCAATATTGGTGACCTGCTGTATTATCAGCAGTAGTTAAACAGTGCAAGACTTTTTTGGTCATGGTGTTAAGATTCAGTTTCCCCAGTGAGGCAGAACCTTCAGCAGTTGTGCTGCTGTCGCCTAACATGACTCACCCCCCACCCTGTTTAACTGTGTCACTGCAGTACTGGCTAAACCGATGAGCTGGTATGCAAAAAACATTGTTAGAAAATGCATGAGAATAACGCAACACACAAAAAAAAAAAGAGCAGTGATGAAAAATAAAAAAATAAGAGGTACTGAACAGAAACCAAAACTGCAAAGAATTCTGGGTAGCTTCACCCCCAGTGCTGCAGTGTTTGTAGTATTTAAGAATGTGAGTTTCTGTTGTCTGTTTCAGTTTAAGAAGTGTGGTGTTGAGTTCCAGTAGCATGGCACAGTCACACGTTTTGTTTGTCTGTTTGTTTATCCCTTTCTCCCTCTTCATGTGTATGTTTTGGTGTTTGTCATAAGTATTCTTGTAAGTATGCTTTAGATAGGGGTGAGGGAGGGTTTGAGGGGGCTAAGGTGTGTCATTGTTCATCACCTGATGTGTCTGTATAAGCAATCAAAGTTTAAGTTACTGAGAACTCATTGTGTATCAGTGAATAAAGGACTGTGTAACTAAAACTAGAGTATAAAGTTCTAACCTAAAATATAACTATAGCGTTATTAATTTTGCTGATGATATGTTATCTGAATTTTTAGCTCCTTAAACTTTGCATCGGTGTCAGCAAACTTGTTGTCAAGCCCTAATCAAATTGATGTTTGTGGTGATCAACTATATGCTATATATGTAGCAGCCCTCAAGCAGTTTAAGTAACCTTAAAGTTTTCCTCTGACTGGAACAATCATGTCTCCTAAACTTTTACACAAAAGTCACAGTATTAATGTCACAATATTAAATTTATCCACGCTGACTTCATTAAACCTTTAAATATTTGCATTCACAAAGAAATGCTACTTGGTGTGTTAGCTGTAAGTATGGAAATAACGTTTTCCCAGTTAATGAGGCCTCAAAAGAAGACACTTCATATTAGATGAGCTTCGGTCCTGCCCACCAAGTGTGTTCTACACCCAAACCCCATCCGTCGCACTCTCTACCTTACGAGTCTTGTTTACATATCGTCACTGCTGGACGGAGGTGGAGAATAATTATCATTTTGTATCAGGATGTGTGTGTCTGCGTGTGTGTGTTCATGTGTGTGCACTGAGTACTATTCACAAGTTCTTCTCATAAGACATTAAGTCTACTTTTATCTTTTTCAAATGTTCAGATTTTCTATGGTGAGAAAATAGGGTGTCAGTTGTGTTGATATATAAATCTATATTAGGGTGAAAGGGTTCATCAGGAAATGTTTGATCTCTGTAATCACGATTACAACGAAAGTTTAGCAAGAGCGTGCACGTCTAAAAGGATCATATTAAAGTAATCTAAGTGCGATATCTGTCAGTGACACCTCAAGGATATGGCTAACAGCGTATCTCAGTCACTTCAGTTTCGTTTATGTCAGTGCTTTTCTATATTTCTAGTTTCAAGTGCAATATGCCAGAAAAAAATTTGATCAGACGAACATGATTTGCTTTTGTTTTTGGTGACGTGTAAGCATTTTGTGAAGTTGTGAAGTGCTATTCCTGCTTTATCCTTTAGAGTGTTGACAGTTTACCGTGATCTTAGTTTGCAAGCTTTGTTCTGTTCTGTTCGCTAGGGTTCTAATGGGTTTAGCATCAGTGACGTGTGAAACTGACAAAGGGAACGCATTAGCGTATAGTTTGCTACTTTTATTCTATTTTATTCTGTGTATGTGTTCGCCGATACTTTATCACACGAACACCGTAGAAAAACGGAAATATTTGTAATAAAGAATGTAACAGACCTATGTACTATACCAATGAACATGAAACTGTTCAATCATGATTTTATTTCATTCATGTATTGTGAGAGTTTTATGGATTTGTTTTGATTTTTTTTATATTGTGGACTATCACTCATGCGGTATTCTCGAAAATTCCTCTTTCTCTGCAATTTTCAGTCTTTGATCAATTAGCTTTAGCTGCATGCATATTAGCTCATTATCATTTTTCCTTCTGCAGTTGTTCTTTCTCAGTATCATGTTCATCTTGTGGTATTTTTTTATGTAGGGTCAAGCAGAATAAAAATGTTTATGCTTTATTATCTGGGCATGTCCATTTAAAACAGTGCTTTAGTTATTACACTAAACTGGCTTCAGAATACTTAAAATGTTGCAACTACAGTCAACACAAAATCGAATTACTAATAGTGCTGAAATGTGCACAAACAAGGATTGTTTAGGAACATTTTTAGAGAGATTAACAGTTTATTTGCAGATTAGCCAATATGAACTATCTGACTTGTGTATCACATTTTCAAATCATTTTTCTTCTCTGCTTCGTTTGACTTCTTAAGAAGGAAAACTGAATTGGGAACTTAGTGGTTTATCATTATTATTATTATTTATCAATCTGAAATTGTTTAATTTTTCAGTGTTGAATTTAGGATTCAGTTTCCATTATGGAAACAGGGATTATAGAGGAGTTTAGCCTGTTGTATTTTCTTTTCTTTAGATGTTTTATAAGCCCCAAGCCGTTCCCATCTTTATCTTTTATTGCTGTGACTTCGAACTAAGAAACAAATCCAAATGATACAAACTTGTACAAAAAGTGAGAGTACAAATATTCTAACATCAAGAGGACATATCAATAAAAATATCAATTAAATATGATGTGATGGCTGTTTCTTTAACCCGCTTAAATATGTGAATGTGGTGAATAGTTAAGCACATTTAATAAGTTAGGGAAAACTTTCTTTTACAGCCTCTTAAGTTCTAGGTATTAACCAGGTAAGTGTACTAGGTAATTATTTGACAACATGGTGGTAAGTTTCAAGATGGTCAGATTAATTTACACTGAATAATGAGAAAAGACATGGTAAAATATTCTAGAATTGGGTGATTTGGAGAAACAACGCAAATACAAACCACCTCTCAGCCCAGATTCAGGTTTGTTTATTGTTTCTGCTTTGGTTCACCTTTCCGACATAATAACTACCTGGAATTTACCTGTTTTCATATTTCCTTTATTGCTTAAATATGTGGTGTTATACTGTAATATAGTTAGTCCAGTCTAGTTACTTGCTATGATTTTAACCCAAATAATTACCTGGTCCCTTTGAGTTTGTATCTCTAACTTACTTAGTAAATACCTAGAACGTTTTGGGCATTTCAGTGTAATTTAGTGAGTCTTGGGAATTATCATCACTTTACACAAAACAGTTATCTAGTACTTTGGCATTTGTACCACATACCTGATTAATATCTAGAACCTAAGGGACTGTAACAGAAAGCATTACCTTAAGTTATATCAAATATACTTATTTTTAATCAAACTATGTTCAAACACTAGGGATATGGCCCCTGTACTGCTAAGTTCTATTGGAAAACTATTGTCAATTTACCAAAAAGAAAAAAATAATACAGGGCGATTGTCAGGCACAGAAAAAACTCCAGAATCACTGCAGTAACTACATGTTCAATTTATTATCTCTCGTTTACACACTGCAGCTGCTATAGTTGTATTGATTATTCATTTGGTCATTAATGCATGCCTCCATAGATGGTCTTAAGTATGTAGTTCTCACCAACATGGGAACAAAATGTGTTTTTTTTTTTTAATTTGCCTTCATTTCATTTTTGATTACAAGAGAGCATTTAGAATTGAACATTATCAAACAGTAAATGTCCTGGACTCAGTAGTCTCTAATCAGAAACTCAGCGTTCCCTCTTGATTTCATGAATTACACAAGATTTGGATTTTTTTTTCCTGAAGCTTAAAATAAATTTCAAGAACAGCTTAACAGTGCGCATGCTACTTGTCCATTATAAAAGGATAATGTCATCATGAAAACCACTGAGAACTTCACAAACACTCACACATACATTCTCTGTGGGCAAATTAACAAAAAATAACAGAAATGTAGCGCAAGTTGATGCGTTCCCATAAAAAGGGACATATTCTGTCTACATCTCTCATTTGTTGTAATGTTTTGTCTATATTTTCGGAACATCGGCACCACCAGTGTTAAAATGACCACTGCAGATATGAAAAATGAACATTGCTACTACTGCATTCACTAAAATCATTACCTTTATAGGCATAAACAGGTTGACTGAAGGTTATTTTGAAAGCTCACATTAGGTTAGAAGTATGCAGTTCTTTTCTTATATGTCGATAAAGTATATCATGCAAGTGCCACTGAATTCAGTAACCAGCAGTGATAGATTGATTAGATTCAGTAGATTGTACAGTATGCTGTTTAAAAGTGAATAGCCATGATGCTGCTATTTGTTTCAAGGCTGTCAAAATTATGAAACCAGAAATTCACCACTTCCTTGCCACAGAACTTAGAGAGATTAAAAAAAGATCTTTGAATGTTTTTATTTGTATTGTAGTCTAAAACTATACCTGGTATCTTTTGAACCAGTAGAATATATTAGGTACTCGATGCTTCCACAAATTATTACTTTCAGCTTTACTTGAATTTCTATATTATTTCGTTTTGACTGATTATTTTGTCTTACTAATAGTGTCTGTTTCCCAGACAGGGATTGAGAATAGCCTTTGGATCTATGTTTTCCTTTCAGTGGAGAATTTCCATTCGCGATGCTAGTTCAGTACTAGACTCAATCCCTGTTTGGGAGACAGACTCATAAAAAGACCCACTGCCAGCTTCCCAGATATTGGTCTGGGAAAGTGGCCTAGAATCTGTCATTTGTGGCCCAGAAGCAAAAATCATTTTAAGACATGCAACCATGGTAAAATACTTAAGAAAATGGCGTTGATGTGAGATTACCACTTTCTTTATTTTACACCATTTGGAACATCAGAAATAAAAACAAAGCAAATAAAACCAAAACCAACTCCACATTCTCTTCCCCCCCTTCATTCAATCTGACGAGCCGTGTTCACAGTGCTCCGAAACCCTCGATATTGATTTTGTAAGTGCGCCACTAATATGGAAGGAATTAAGATCAAGCTCACAAGCACAAAGAGTCTTTCTGGGAGTTACTGATTAATAACATCCATCCTTTAAATAATGGTGAAGGTCGTAAAATTAGACAGCACAAAGAATGTTGTGGATTAAATTAAGAATGTAACATTAATGATGGCTACTTTCATATATGCAGACAAGGGGGCAGCAGTATTGTGATTGGAGGTTAACATGGTGAAGAAATGCATACATACACACACGTATAGGCACACACACACACACACACACACACACACACACACACACACGCACTGTACATAGATAGGGCAGACCGAGTCCACCGTGCAAAAGCTGTTGTGGCCTTACATGAAAATATGCGAAAGACCAACAAAAACAAAATCAAAGAGCATGAGCTGGGAAGAATTCTCTAAGCTTTCATTCAATATGACTTTCTAAATGCACATTAAAGGCAAGCATGTCAAAATCTAGCATTCGGACCACCATGAGAGTGGAGCGGTGATAGTGATTTCACACTTGTACTAAATACAAATTACTCAAGCTCATTCTGGTATCATAGAGAACTACACAATGACATTCATTCAATTTTTACATCGTCTCAATACTGTCCACGTTATACCTGTGTTCGTGGTATGCAGTAAACATGCCCCCAGTCACAGACAGTCAGTTATCCGAAGCCCCTGGACAGAATTTAGAGCAAATAATTTGTAACATGTTTAATTGCAGTAGTGCATTTGGTGCAGTTGTACAGCAGGTATGCAGACAGTGCAGGTATATGCTGCAGCTTTTTTTTTCCTTTTTCCATTCAAAGTGGATACATTTTATCTAATATTTACATGTGTCCCATTATTTTCAACTCTCTTGCAGAAAGAGGTCTGTGAAAACTGTTTAATGTCCAAGATGATGCTTTTGTGAAGTTTAATGTTTAGATTTTCTACCACAATAGCCAACAAATGATAAAACAACGAAGCTAGACTTATCAGCAAGAGCAAGATAAAGCTATCTTTGGTCACGTGGGAACTATGACAACATCCAAAAACAAAAACAAACAAACAAAAATACTCAGAACCATAACAAAATGTACCATTTTGCAATGGAGAACATAGAACTCCAAAAGCTGGGGTTCTGAAACAGGAAAGATAGCTTAGAGCATAGGGTGGAGTAAATGATCGAAAAACAAAAAGGGCTGGGTGGGGGCGAAGGTCACAATCTGATATTGTGCCGAGATTTTTGGGATACGTGCCACAACAGCGCAAAAAAATGCAAAGCATAATTAGAATTTGACTACGCAGTAGAAAATTTGTCGTTTGTGTCCCGCTTTTCCTCCCTCTTCCCTTTGTCCTCTGCCACTGCCCCCATTTCCGGCTCTTCTGTCACTTCTGGTGTGCAGTAGCGTTGGAGCAGTTGGTGGAGATGCTGCTGAAGGGCATCAGGTCGCAGGGCCTCCGGAGTGTCCTCCAGTCGCTCCAGGTGCGTGTGTTTGCTCTGGCCGTCCTTCACCACTGTCTTCTTTTGAGTGCGCGTCTTTCTCATGCAAGCCCTACAAACGAATAGTCACAAACGAGAAGTTTTAGGAAGAACACTTTGCCTCTCTATTTTAACACCATTCTTTCAGTCTTCTTTTTGCTCTGAAATGACTAAAACCATGCATAGAAAAGACATGTTATTAAGGTTAATGATGAGTTCAGTTCACACACACCAGCACAATGCACACTCTAGATTTGATTTCTCCAGACAGATTTGAACAGATTACTATTGTATTAGGTTATTGACAGGGCCATTTTTCTAAATGATATTTCATTGCAATTTTTCAAAACTGCTCATCATCCCAGCCATAGTTTTTTTGTACTGTGACCTCAAGGGCCTTTGAATAATAACAAAACTGATGAACTAGAAAAATGCAATATACGCTCTGTTAATAAAAACAGGTTAATTCTGTCGTGGCTGTGTAGCAGCTATTCTTGAGTAGGGCTTTTTTGCTTTATTAATTCTCAAACATGCTCATCAGGTGTTAAAGCTCTATATGTTAAAATCATACCAGCAGCACATATTCCCCTAATTTAATGTATCATCTGTTATTCAGTGCCATAAACCACACAAAATCAAGCCACTATCCAGACCTTCTGACCACAGATCCATCTTCCTTCACCATCTCTTTCTCCACTAAATGAGGCAAGTGCACTTTCTCAAAGCCACCTACATAACTCAAAGCCTAGACATGACAAAACAAATATGAAAAAGTACTTCAGCTTTGTTGAAAAAAAATAAAATATGTAAATTTCATTGTTAAAATAATATTGCTGTTTAAGATTAGGATGCGTTAAGATTCAGAGCGCTAAGCTCACACAGTTCAGCAACAAACCTTTTCAAAGTCATCTTTTGCTGAGGGGAGATCTCCTGACAACAAGGGGTCACCGATTTGTTTTTCCATCCGCTCACCCTGTACTACCATAGTTTTGATGACCTTGCTGACTTTCCGACCTTGGACAGGCTCTACTTCAAATTCAGAGGCTGCTGCCCCTCCAACAGGTAGCGGCTCAGAAAAGGTCACCTGAAATTTGTTTTTTAAATTACAATTGCAGACCATATTATGGTCAGTACAGCATTTGATAATTTGCTTTGGAATGAAATGAAAATAAATGCTTAAAACACACACACCTCTGTCTGATCTCCCCCACTCCTCACTACTGTCCTCTTCACCACTTTGGAGAAGCCATCAGCCTCATCTACTGTGATAGCTTCTTGCTGACCTCCCTCCACCATCACTTCCTCTCGCTCCACTCCATCTGCTGACACATACTTGCGGATAATTTTCCTTGTGATCTGTTTGGACACAGTAAAAGACATAAAGGTATCAATTTAGACAGCAGACAAAAGTAAGGTTGTATGTACAAGTGTTTAGTAATTAGTTTGCTTTTTATTATGTTTTTTTATTATGTGTTATTGTTCTTGCTTGTCATTTATGACAAACTCTTGGATATTGTACTTGCAAGATGTTTATCTGCACTATTCTACTATTAAGGATAGCTGGAATTTTCTGTCCTTTGCCACTACGGGGACAGAAAGTGACATAAACCAGTGTTAACTGGAACGAAAAAGACAAGAGCAAAATTGTATTTATGTAGTATTTATATAGCATCTAGTATTGTTACTGTTTACCTTTTTAACTACTATGTTTCCATATTCATCAGTGTATTGCTCCTCTGTCATTGTCTGGGGGCGGATCTCAGGTATATCGTCTCCCTAGACCAAAGCAAAAGACAAGTGTTAACTCATGCTGTACAATGGAGATGGAAACCATAGTACACAATGAAAAACATTTAAAACGTGCAAAGTATACAGTTTGTCCTCACATGGTGGGAATATTTAAAGTCTCTAGAGACAAATCTGAAAACCATGAAAATGTGAATAAGTACAAAATCAGACATTTATATTTCTGTAATCAAGCATCCTGTCTAACATCAACCAAGTACTGGTTAATCATCAAGCAAGGTACTCGTATTTACCAGTAACTAGCAGTGTTTCTAACAATAGAATTTTGACAAAAACCTATGAGCAAGAGTCCTCAGTGCTGATAACAGTGCATGGTTGGATCCTATCTAAAGATAACCCCCCAAAAAGAAAAGTGCCTGTTAAAAAATGGACATTAAATTTGCTTTGAACATGAGTGGTGTCAGACTGCTTGGAGTGAGTAAAGCAAAAAACATAATTCTGTATGATCCATACTAACCTTTAACAAGTTCGACCCAAAAGCCCCCCACACTTAAATTTTGAAAAACAGGGCATAATTTTATAACATGCACAGCTAACGAAATACCTGGATAATAACTCTGCGTCGCACTACTCGGGTGGTCAACACCTCTTCCTCTGAACTATCAGACAGCAAGCCTAGCTCCTCTGCTATATCCTGAGAGTTGGGTTGGAGATGCATTATTGATATGGAATGAACTTAAGGCAAATTCTTAAATATCTGCATATCACACCATGCAAAGCCAATGCACTGCTAAGGTTCCTTTTTTCTCTTTTATTCCAAAGTGTGTTGTTCTCACAGCAAATCTTTTGCCTTTTAAAACAGGCCAAATGCTACGGTACTATTATTTAGGTTAAAGGTACATGAATAAATGGCACTGTGGAAATCAGAGTTAACCAAATAAGTTTCAAGACTGTTAAGGGGGAATCAGGCAATAAGGAATCAGATCCAGAAGCTGCAATCCATTCTATTCCAAGTCACTGTCATAAATAAATTGTAGTAAGTAGTTTCATAGGTAATTGTATTAAGTAGTTTCATAGGTCATCCAACGTTCCACTACTCTGAAATATTTTGTTAAATTTGTGTGCATGCAGACAAACATTAAAAAGGTCAACTTTTGCGCAAGTCAGAATATTAGCTTGGGCCATTCGATTGCTGCATTCTATCTGGGGAAACAAGCTGCTCAAGCCATAGTAGCACTCATGCTCAAGGCTTACCCTTCCTAGAGAATCATCGTCATCAAATTGGGCTTCCTCCCTTGGAGGTAGCTCTTCAGCAAAGGAGTGTTCATCTGCATAGCCATAAGGGTATGCTATGTCTTCACCATGCTCATCTACATATTCATCCTCTGGTTCAAGAACAATGGGTAAATCAAGCTCTTCACTGCCCCAAGATATGGGACGTTCTTTGTCCTCTTTTTCTACATGTGTGCTTTCTTTTTGTTTGGAGGTGCCAGTCAAATAGTCAAAGTCTGGAGTGCTTGGTAAGGATGGTGGTTCCTCAACTCGGTAAATGGCACCAGGCACATCTAAGAGCTCTCCTGGTCTAATTTCTGGCTCAGATATATCTGAAAAAGTTTGTCGGCAATCAAAGAACTCTGGATCTGACTCTAAACTATCCGCATAGACCGACACTGGCTTGGCCTTCAGATCAACACCCATCAGCCTAATGTCATCCGTGGGTTCTGTGGATTGTTCAGATACCTCAAGCTCATTAGTCACTTCCTCAGAACTAGGAACCAAAGCAGTTCTTGTGGAACAAGTTTCACTAAAGACCAACCCTGGCTTATCTCCACCAAGTGCTGCTAATGTGTTTTCAAATTCAGAAAGAACTTGCTGGAAGCCTGGAGAAAGTTGAAATGAGCCAACTGCTCTTGCAGTCTCCTTTCCAGTGGATACTGGTGAATCTGTAGATTGTGCTTGGTCAGAAAATGATTCACTAAAGACGGGTGAGAGGGGACTCATATCAGTTGGTGACACCACACTGCTTGGAGACTTTGAAACCACATCAGTGTAATCAGGAGGGGCATAATCAAACCTTAAAATGGGGGAAGAAGAGCTGCTTAGATTAGGAGTCACTGTCCTGTGGGATTCTTGCTTATAGAACTGGAAAGGAGTTGTATGTATTTGATACAATTCAGAGGTTGTCTTGGCTTGCTCAAGTGATTGCTTGAAAGGCGCAGGATGTACACTTTCCAAATCAGAACTCAAAGATGTGCTTCTTTCTCGTATACTGGGTAAAGTCTTTGGGTCACTTGCAGCTGACTCTATGGCATCACTTGTCAAAGAGGATGCAACTAATTTTAGCCTTTGCTCTAAAATGGCCACATTACTACGATCTTGGACTGCTGATGAGCTGTCTTCATTAACAGTGGCATCTCTAAGCAAAGTAGTGGAATAGGAGTCTCCTTGATTGAGTGTTAACCCTTTTATATGTTGTGCTTTGAAAGAAATATCCTTTTCTGAAACTTCTTGCAGAGCCTGAAAGGGAAATGAATTTGAGCAAGAATTAAATCTATACTTTGTTACACTGTTTCCTCTAGAAGATCATGCACTGATAGTTGTTTGCACGCTGTTTTTCCTCATGGCATCAGTTTCATTATTTCTAGAGAACATGAAATCACACGAAAGGCAGTGAGAATTGTTTTACGACAAACCATGCATGCTTTTCCAGAAGCAGTAACACCTTTTGTTATCAATGTTTGGCATTTACAAAATCCACACTCATCAACGGCTCTTCGATTAGGATAGATTTGTTAGTAGATCCAGAAGAACAAAAACCAATCCTTCCATCATGTTACGAAAGTTACAGCATTCCTCCAGGGCGGCACAAACTGTGACTGAAGTACAGTGACATGCTAAGTCTCTCTTACCCTTGCTTTGGTCTGTTGACAGGCTAGTTCGGAGGTGGCATAGTCAGATTTATCTTCAAGATCCTGCTTGTCCTGAAACTCCAATTCTTGTTTGGCCATCTTCATTCCATGACTGTCTTCTTGGGTGCTTATAAGGACTTTACAGTCTTCATCTACAGATGATCTCTTGACTTCCATGTTTGCTGAATCAGCTTCAGTATTCTTTGTCCCTTGTTCTGGTTCTAAGACAAATTCATGACAGGTGGGTAGTGGTTTGCTGTCACTATTTAGGTCTTCACTGAAAGGCCTCTGGGACTCTGCTGGAGGTTCTGATTTTGTGTAGTCTGATTCCGAGATGGTCTCAATTTGTGATTTGCATTGCACAGTATGGAGCACTGCAACGTCACTGTGGGATGTGTTGCCCTGTTTTACTACTTTATCTAAAAACACTGTCAACGCTGGACTTGTTTGTTCAACCAAATCTTTGCTCTGTGTTTCAGATGTTACTGACTCAGGGGATTCTGGGCGGATATCACTGTCAAGTATCAGAGAATCTGGTGTAATACTTGGAGTGGATTGCATTTCTAATCTCAGTGCTTCAGGGGATGGACATCTAAGTGCAGACTCAAATGGGACTGAAATGGGAGATACTGATCTAGAATCACATTCTGATATGTCAGATCCAGGTGATGGTGGTCTTTGCTCAATGTCTGGCCATTCAGATGGGAGATGCCTTAAGTGTGTGTATCCAGAAGGTGTAGAAGTCAAATAAAATGTCTGTAAATCATACATTATTGGTGATATTTGTGCTATAGTAGATTCATTTGTCAATGATAACTGCAATTCATGTTCAGCTGGAACTGGTGAAGGTGCTAAGAATTCAGGTATGGGAGAATCAGGTGAAAGTCTGCTGAATTTATTTATAGAAGACACTGACTCTGGGGAAGAAGGTCGACTTTCAGACTGAAACATCATTGCATAAGGTACTGCAGGCATATGCTCCGGTGTAGGTGAATCAGGTGTGAGAGGTTGGAATTCATTTACAGATTGAATAAACTCTGGTAAAGAAAGTCTCAGGTCTGACTTCTCCTTAACATGTTCACTTGTTTGATTATTATATTCATGGGATATGGTTAAACTCTTATGTGCACACTTAGTAATTTGTGAAGTATCAAGAGCAGCAGATGGTACCTTATAATCATCTTGATCAATGATATCATGAGGCTCGTCCATTTTGCAAGTCTGGACAACTTCCATTCTACATCCAGTATACTCAAACACACCTGTTTTAGGGGAGAATGTTTCACCCTTGTATTGGGGGTCATATATGTTAGCTCTAAGATTTAAAGGAACAGCTTTGTACACAAGTTTGTATTCTGGCACCATTTTGACAGTCTCTTGGAACAGAGCACTGGTCATAGTTTCAGATACTGTCTGGTTTTCACTTTTTGAAAAGTCAATGTTATTTACAGGGTCTGGTGTAAGATTTGTAGTCACTGTTTGTGACTGGGATAGGTATCTGTCCTCCAATGATTCTACTGCATCCTGTTTGATTTGCTCAAACATAGATAGAGGTGAATCTAAGGAAGGAAGCTGGTGTTCATTAACAGATTCTGTAGCATCAGGAGATGACGTTCCAAAAATGTCCAAATCACAATTTTTCTCTGAAATGGCAGGCTGAAGTATACATGATTCATATCCAGAAAGTGTTAGCGTATACTCAGGGAAAGATGACCCGAATTCTGGAATAGGCGAGTCAGGTGATAACGGTCTACTCTGATCTACTGATCCCACTGAATCCGGTGATACTGGCCTCTCCTCAACAGTAAACAAGTCTCCAAGGACACATTCATATTCTGTAGATTCTGAACACACTGACTTAGGTGAACATGATCTATATCCACTAACTGGCAAAGAAATCTCCAGAAAAGATGAACTAAATTCTGGAATAGGTGAATCAGCTGATAATGGTCTACTCTCATCTACTGATGCCATTGAATCAGGTGATAGTGGTCTATGACAAGAAGCTGCATCTGTGAGAACATTTGATTCATAATCTGTATCTGATGCCAGGGACTCAAGAGAGGATGATCTGTGTCCTATAACTGGCACTAACTCAAACAACAATGCTGAGTGTTGCGG